CCCCAAAACCCCAAAACCCCAAAACCCCTTTTAGTTTGGTTAGTATTGGATCCAATTTTATAATAATAACAGTTCTGAATCAAGTAATAAGAATTTCATTAAGTTAGCTCTAGATTCTGAGAGAATTCATATCTAGCCATGTAAATTGTAGCATTTAAAAATAAGAAGGATATATAGGAAGCACTATCAATTCGAATCATGTTCTATAGTATCAAATTTCCTCAAACAATGTGCTAAATTGGGCATCTAAACCTCAGAACTTTTTGCCGTTCCATAAAATCCATACTTGAATAAATAAATTTGTTAAGAAATTAGGAAATTAGTGGATTTTAGGGGAGGTTTTGGGGTGGGTGGAGGGGGATTGAGGGAGGTTATGAGGGTTGAGGGATTGGGGTGGGATTTATGGAAGATTTAGTGGTGGTTATTGGGTTGAGGATCTTTATTGTAAGTGGGTTTGATGTGGGTTGGGAGGGTATTTTTGAAAAATATCGGGTTTTGTTTTTATTGGCATAATTTTTAGTTCTAGTATAATGAGTCGATAGATTACTTTTATTCTTTAGAAATTTGGAGAATCGAGTCTTGTTTGATTTATGAAGTTAAGCGAGTTCTTCTAGTTTTATCGTTGAATGCGTATTCTTTTCCTTCTTTGGACTTTTTTGAAGATTCGGAAATTTGTAACAGAATTTACTCACATTTCTCTTGATCCCAAAAGATGATTTAGGTTTAAGCTGAGCATATTTAAGCCCTCTTGAAGACTCTACCTATAAAAATGGAGATGTTTCTCTTATCTAAGAACTTTTCACACTAAGTAGGCCTTCCTTACTATCCTCTAAAAAGGTTGTTCTGAAGCTTTCCTATAAGTTCCATTTAGCACCTATCTTAAAACACCACTTACAGAGCTACTGCATTCCAGATCCTTCATTACAAGTCTTCTTATATCTCTGCATTTAACTTTCAGGAGAGGTCTGCCCAGTGTAGTTCTTGTATTACTCTCTAGATTACTAATGCTGATTTCCATTAATTCAACAAATATTTCTAATTTTGGGGTTTTGGGGTTTTGGGGTTTTGGGGTTTTGGGG